TTTATTTTATCTGATTAATTAATACCCACTTCTTTTTATTAATTTGATGTGATTGATGTGTAAGTAATGCTGTGGCAGACTGAAGATAGGATATTTCTGGTGTTGGAGTACTGTGATGGCGGTGATCTCGCAGCTTATATTAATCGACATGGGAAAGTATCGGAGGAAATTGCGAGACATTTTATGAGACAATTGGGTACTGTTCTTTGAAATTTTCATGCTTTCTATTACAATGTTTAGACGATTGGTTTCTTTAATTTGGATTAGGGAAATTGGGTTGTTTTGTTTTTGCTGTATAATTATTACTCTAGTTGGGTGCCATTCATTGCAAGTGGTTTTTTTTTGTTGGAAACCTCATAGAACAGTTAAAAGAAGAAACTTTTGCTTCGTTAGCACTAATGACTTTTAAATTAAATTTTTTATAGTTAAGGCTATGGTTTTTGCAAATTTTTATTGTTGGAAAATAAATTTTTTTCATGTGTGGTTTACAGTAAGATAATTCGTAATAGTTTTGTTTGTCAAATGGATATGATGCCAAACTTAGAAACTTGTAGCTTCTCCCTTTTGTGCTTTGGTTTTCATCTTCATTCATCGGTTACGGTACTTAAAATTGAATCATATGGTAATTTTTAATGGTTGTGGTATTTGGCTGTTCAGATTCAAACATATTAATGCCATATAAGTTGGTGGTATAGGGAGGGAGCTTGTTGTAGGTGTTTCTCCCGAGGAGTTCAATTTTTACCTCATATCCCCAACTTTTACCTGCTTACACTTGTTTGATATTTCGCTATTGTGAAAAATCTGGAATGCCCTGATCTATGGACTGTCTCGTGCAGCTGCAGGATTGCAAGTTCTTCAAGAAAAACACCTCATACATCGAGATTTAAAGCCACAGGTTTTGTGCTTAATATCATAGTTTAATTGTATGTATGTTTAGTAGGATATCTCTTTAGTGCAGACCACGTTGTTTAGTTTTAGAATTTATCACTTCAAAAAGTTCAGACATTATTGTTTTATAGGACTCTAGTCTATTCTCTCTTGTTGGATGTGAGTAGATTTATCTAGTAATCAACTGGAATCTAACCTCTGCAGTTTTCATCTTACGAGTACTTGATCATTTATTTCTTTTAAATTTGTTGCAACTTGCAGAACTTACTATTGTCAATAAAAGGAGAAACTCCGCAACTGAAGATAGGAGATTTTGGTTTTGCAAGGTGAATATTTTAGTTTGCCTCTTACAAGTTGAATCAAGGCTTACTTCATAGATATTGCTTCACTTTCAGACATGCAGTATAACTTCGTCTGTTTATTGATTCTGATACTTCTGGGGGAGTCCCCTGGCTTTCCGAGAAAAAGGAGGGAAATTTTTCAAATCCTATCTAACAAAATGTGTTCTGACTTCCATGGAACATTGGTCATAGAAAGCTGTTGATATACCTTGTTTTGCAGATCCTTGACACCTGAAGACTTGGCTGCTACACTATGCGGTTCACCATTGTACATGGCACCAGAGATTATTCAGAACAAGAAGTATGATGCAAAGGTGAAACAACTACTTGGGTTTTACTCCCCACAACCACCTCCTATTGTTTTTTCTTTGCTATCTTTAAATAACTGTAACACTCTATGTAGGCTGATTTGTGGAGTGTTGGGGCAATCTTATTTCAACTGGTCACTGGGAAGCCACCGTTTAATGGAAATAGTCAATTACAGGTTTGAGTATAGTAATCTATTTGGCTTATTATCAAAGCTTCAATGCTTCGCAAGTTATTTATTATGATTCTCTGCTTGATGCAGCTGTTCCAGAATATATTGAGATCCACTGAACTGCAATTTCCTGAAGGTTCCCTACAAGAATTACATCCTGATAGTGTTGGTCTTTGCAGAAGCCTTTTACGTCATAATCCAGGTACTGGTTACTACAGTACAGGTGTTTATGCATACATGTTCATGTTAAAGTGATTATTGTCCAACAGTTCTTGACTTTGGGTTCTTACATAGTACTAATAATTTTGCCTGCTATTTTCAAATATTTAAGATCATAAATTTATTTGCAATATTTATAAATCCTGCAATCTAAAATTTAACTTCAATTTGCAGTTGAGCGACTTACATTCAGGGAATTTTTCAATCACAAGTTCCTTAGGGAGGCCAGGTAAAATCCTCTTTTAGTGCATTTGATGCTCCTCAATCCAACTTACTTTATGTAAAGTTGTCTAGCATCTAAAGCAATTCAAGCTATTTGGATTGAGTTTATTGCATCATTATCTGTAGCAAAAGGGTGGATGTTGAGCCAGACACTTCACGTCTGCCATCAGAATCAATGCATGAACAGTTCGCTTCTTCTGCAATGAAATCTCCGTTACCATCCTACAATCTTATGGAAGCATCTAGCAGAAATAAAAAATCAGCTAGTTCATCTGGATGTGATACTTCATCACTTACAAAGGAGAACGGTGGTTCATCTGGTGTCAAAGGTGCCCATGGAGCAATGCCTCTTGTATGTGATGACAAGAAATCTGTTAATAACCAATGTTTATCAGATCAGCTCAGAGGTGAATTCTTCTGTCAAATGATGTTCTCATTGCGCTCTTTACTTTTCTTTCTTTTGCTTTTGAATTCCTCATTTTTCCTCTCAATGACCAGTAGCTGACTCAATGGAATCTATTGAGAAAGAATATGTTCTAGTCAATCCTCATTCCACATCAATGGAGACTTTCTCTGATTACCTTGAGACACCCCTGCGAGATTATTCAACTTTGAAGTGCCCAACAAAGAACAGTGACCAGGAATCAGAAGTTACTCTAGAAACAAAGGAGACTGCTGGGAGTTCTGTGGGTTCTGCAAATACACAAGTTCTGGGATCTGATCCACAAACAACATCATCTGAATCAGCTATATTAAGGGAAGTACAGAGACTTAACAGAATGCATCCCTCAACTAGACTGCAGTTATTGCATCAGTATGCACAGGCTATTGCGGAATTAGCTCAAGAAAAGGTGATCTTTTATTGTTTTCTGCGGACTAAATTTACTGTGAATTTTGTCCCTTCTCATAGGAAAGAGAAGTTAGTTTGTCCCCATTTAAATGACAAACGTTTAATTGCTGCATGTGCATTGTAATCACAATCCGAGGTGAAGGACAATTGGTACTCGGTATATTTGAGCATGTGAACTCCTGTTCATAGTTGAGTTGGAGCCTGCTAATACTTCGTGAAATCAACATTTCTATATCTGTTGTTGCAGATTGTTTTTTTTTTGTTGATAAATTGCATTTGCACTTTGTTTAAGGTTTCTGATATTGTTGCTTTGAATGAGACATCTCAAAAATCAGTTCATTGCAGTACAATGCAGGACTATTTCTGGAATCATTTTCGATTGAACTTGTTGTCCTGGCTATATGGAAGAAAGCTCTTCAGATATGTGCCTCTTGGATAGCCTCTGCTCCAGAGAATGAATCCCATGGAAGCAGTTCAGCCAATCAAACAACTACCAATGTCCTGGGTAATGCAGACTTGGCTCTAAATTCAGAATATGGTGGAGATTCAAACAGGCCTTCATCTGCTTGCTTCTGGGTAGAGCAAGGTTTTATTGCTGCATGTGATCGTACCGAAAAGTTATCATGTCATATTAAAGATATGGATGGTTAGATTGTCAATCTGAAACAACTCTTCGTTTATAATTTTCTTAATTGGGTTGGAATTATTTAAGGTATCTGTCAAATAATTGCAGCTGCCGCTAAGATGCCTGATGCCATGGAAATAATTTATCAAACAGCACTCACTATCGGGACAAACGGTGCTGTGAGTAACTTGCATTATTGTCATAATTTATTTACTTCACCCTTTGTAGTTGTGACTAATGCAAATTCTCTTTTTCCAACTTCTTCTAGGTAGAAGAGTATATGCGAAACAAAGGCAGTGCTGCAGCATCGTACTCGAAAGCAATGCTTTTACTTTCATTCATTGTAGGAGAGGCGGCAAGTATTCCATTGAACCCTCCCTTTTCATTGACTCCTGCCAATAAGAAGCGAATTCAGACCTACATCAACAACTTGCAGACTCATCAGGTTCAGTTTCTAACATCAGCACCTTTCCCTAAGCTGTCTGCAGACGTCCACACCAATTGAAGAGACTGAAAAAATATTTTCAAAAGTGCGGCAAGTTTGAACTGTGTTTTCTCGGAAAATATATTCCGATGATTTCATTCTATGAATAGATTTGAAACATGATATATCTATTGTATAGGAAAAAACATATTAACAAGTACTTGCAATCTGGAGCAGAATGATCTGACATTGCACAGGAGTTGATGTAAATAATATTCTCTCTTGATATACTGTAAATCGGAATTGAAATGTAACCTGTACAGTAATGTTTTATATATATGGAGAGTATTCTTTCAATCATTGTTGGATCTGTTTAAAAGCGTACTTGATGGATTTTGTCTAACCTGACTATCTGATATAAGTGATATTGATAAATGATAGAACCTGTCTCGAAATCCCTGGCAGGCTCAACCCATTAACACCTCCTGTCTTCTGAAATGAAACTGTAGGGGAAAAGTTCTTATACCTGAAATAAATTGGAAGTGTTGTCAAAATCATTCTCCACAAACATCAAGTATGGGAGTTATGCACACCTGTAACGCATCAAGTGAGAAATTTTCATTCTGTTGACAAATGTTAATCAGTTACTTTCAACATTTAGGGCATTATCTGGGTTTCACCAAGGAAAATAATAATTGAGTTGATATCAAAAGTAGAATACTAACAACCATGGATTTAGCTCAGTTGATTCGTATAAACTTCTAGTATAGCATCCAGACATCCTGTAAATCTTGAGTTTGAATAGCAGCATCTCTGATACCTTCTATTGTATGCTCATGGAAGGAAAATACTATGTAGTTAAGACTTGGAAGAAAAATAAGCATAAAAGCAGTTAAAAAGTTTACAGAAACCAGTGGATGTCGCCTGCAATTGAAGGGTGGGCAAGTAGATCTTTTTTGTGTAGCTTGCCGTTTCAATGCATCTAAAAGGTTACAGCGAATATGATCACCATAGGTCCATAGTAGAATAATAAAACACAAGGGCAAATATATGCTGAAAAGAAGCCAAAGCAAAGGCCATTCAATATGCTAGATGCTTCTTATCTAAATTTTTTTAGCTACAGTTGCATGGTCCCGGAAAGTGAACAAGCCAACGTATATATAGTACACACTTCTAGACATGAAGTCCCGTTAACTGCAAGTCTTTAAGATTAAAACCGTAAGTCAGATATTAGGGGAAGGGGGGAATTAGAAATGCACACAGCTAACAGAAAATTTTCTTCGTTAATTGAATGCGCTATAGCTTAAGTATGTAGAAGCTTCCCCTTCCAAGCGTATCCTCTTCGGGTCTTTCCCTTCACCTTGACTACCAGTGTTCATCATTCTGCTTTCCTTGGCTTCCACAGAACACCTTTTGTAAGGTTTAAATCCTGTTTGGCGGCCCTTAAGCTTTTCATGTCCTAGCTCAATTGTCGGCTGGCTCTTTTCTACAATGTTCTTGGCTTTTGATAACGCATTGTTCTCAACTTCTCGATGGTCAGAACAAGATCTGCTTGCCTGGCTTGTGAGGTGTAAAGTTGATGTCTCTCCATTATTCTCATCTGCATTTTGCTTGTCTTCGCCTATATTTTCCTTTTTCTGCTCCTTATTCTTGCCGTCATGTGGTGGAGAAAAGCTTTGTGGCAGTACTTCTCTGGAGAAGAGGGCTTGAAAAGCAAGTCGGCCCTGACGAACACAAAAATGCTTAACAAAAAGTAATGGAGCCATAAATGTCATAATATCACAATACAAGTGGAACAATGTCAAATCAACTCACCCCTTCAGATACCTCCTTCCAAGAATCACTCAGGTTCATACTGCTTCTACCACGACGACTATTACATTCAGCTTGTGGATGATTTACATCAGCTTCCTCTGGATCTTCCTTGTCTTTCTCGTGCTTTTCTAATACATCTATCTCCATCTCACTACAAGGTGAATTAGAATCACTTGAGGACCGATCAACTTGTTTCTTGTTTGTTTTATTTGCATCTTGAGGCTCGGTTACTCCAGCATCTTTCACATCAATATTTACTTTTGCATCACCGCTCTCTTCACAATCTGATGATGAAGTAGGTGACTTAGATGCGGAATGTTGACCTTGCATAACTTCAGAGTATCCATGGTCCAACTGTTGGTTCTGCATGGATAGATCTTGATCAGCATTATTTTTTCCACCCGTCTTGGCAGATGGAGCTTGGTCACTCTCCACAGGAGGAACAGTACCTGCAAATGCAGGAGCACATGTACAGCCAGTGTGCAGAGGGGCACATAAAGAAAGCATCCCATGGGCAGCCCACCATGTAGTGGCAGCTGCTACAGTTGCAGCTGCAATTCCAGCCATACTTGTAGCAGAGTTCATTTGTCTGGAAGGAAAACCTCCCTGGTCACAAGTGGGAGAATCAGCAGAATGTCGAACATTTGCATATGGCCAAAACGTAGCTGCAAAGCTTGCAGTAGCATGAGCAGCTGGATTCTGTAACAGAGTAGATACAATGAGATTGGAAAAAGTGGAGGAGACATGTAAAAATGATTGATAGTCCTCTTGATTGGGCTGCAGATGCGTAAAGGGAGTATGAAAGGTTGGAAACGCCTGATGAGTTGATCTTGGTGCATTATTCTGATGTGAAGCAGTAGTGGATGCAGCCGGATTTGCAAACAGGTTAGCTTGTCCATGAAAATCACCCATAGGGTGAAATATAGAGTCCTGAAAAGGCATATCCAGGGAACGATTTTGAGCAAATGTTCCCCGGCTTCCATCTAGGACATGCACAGCAACATGCTGAGGGTAATTTTGAGCGACTTTCATCTCATCTGTACGTACAGCACCTTCCGTATCATCTTTTCTCTGGCCTTGAGCTTGTTTCTCATATGAAGTGCAAGAATTCTCCAAGTCTGAAGTCTGACTTGTATCATTATTAATTGTCTGTAGGACATCAAGTTTATAAGCCTAAAAAAATTAATTTCAAGAATTACAAAGGGAGGGGTTAATGTTTATCATGATTTACTACCTCTTTTAGCGAAGGTACAAACTCCCTAAAAGTGCAAGAGGTTCTGATCGCTGCTGGTGTTGGCATAGAATTCTTGTTCACCAAAGACACAGAGGAGCAGTTTGCTTCATGGATATGGGTAAAAACCTCAGAGCAACTACCATCTTGATTTTCCTGCAGATTTGAAGACTTTTCATCCTCATTAGGTCTCTGTCAGGAAAAATGGAAACTATTTAGATAAACAAAAATATATGGAACATAACTAAGGGCATGGAGAATTAGATAAATGAGATACATGAGAAAATGAAATGAACCTCTGGAAGTGGCTCTTTCTCCAAGTCTAACACCTGTTTGCAACGCAAAAAAGATGGTGGAGTTTCAGATTTTCCATGCTTCATTCCCATCTGTACTAAGGTAGCAGCACTCGTTTTTCGAGGATAAGGGTTGCTTGGTTTTCTTTTTGGGCGTGGAGGAGGAATTTCTATATCAAGACTTTGACCAGTTGGAACACCTTTGGCAAGTGCCTTCTTCTCCAGCTGAGAATGTAATTTGTTAGTACTCCCAGGAACTGATGGTGTCATTTAGCATCAACCATAACAAACTGTGAAACTAAATAGATAGGAATAGCATAACTCATGTTGGCATTGGTTTATTTATTTTCTCTGGAATTTTTTAGATAAGGAGACGAAGTTGTTTTTCTCACTTCAATGCAAAAAATATAAGATGTGAACAGAAGAATACTGCATATTATCAGGAAATTAGAAGTCCATGCATAATTCCTCTAACATCTACTCATTTCTCGTACAGGAGGTTCATGCAAAATTATACACTCCTAGTGTCACTTATATGACCTGTTTTACATACATTTGATGTATCTGCTTCTACTCTCACTAAATATACACACAATTGCGACCTTCAAATCAGGAAAGCTCATTCCAGATGGTGAATCCTGTAAGCCACCTTTAAAGAGCTATTTATATCCTTTCAGTCCTTTACATATACCATGTGTTCTCTCAAAGAATCCTATGCGAAATAACATTTCACTGCAGTAGACAACTCAAAGGACTCCTAGACCACGGTTGATCATACATACTCAACCATAAACTAAATTAAAAAGGGGGCTGATCTAGCCAAGCAGTCTACATAGATGGAAGAAAATTACAGGTGGTTGCTTAGGTATCACAGTTTCAAGATCCGCATAAGTTTAGTTTTCCTTTAGCTGATTATGAAGGATACGCTAACTGACAATCCTAACTGTCCATGCCTGGCATGCTACCCACGGATGCTGAAGAATTCAATTTGAAGCAAAGCCAAAACCTTTGCAAAATCTAGCCATGATGCACACTGTAGTTAAGTCTGTTGGGAAATAAACCGAGTAACGAGTAATTTCACTATAACCAGATTAGTGAGAATGCGAAATAAAAGCGGAAAAATAATACACGAAATTGATAACGGAGTTCAGTCAATTTTGCTTACGTCTCCGGACTGATGCAGATCTTTTACTAAGAAAGAAATTTTACAGGTTTTTACAAAACACTCACTACTCACAAGAAAACTCTCTAGTATTAGGAGAAAGAAAATGATTTTAGGATGGTTTTGAAACTAAATGAGCTAGGGTATTTATAGTTGAAGCTTAAAGACTTAATCTTGTAAATACCCTAAAGTATAGGGATTAATTATGATTATTTCATTATCATTTTTCAACAAACATCTACCAAACTTTGAAAAATTATTTTTCAAAGAAACATTTACCAAACTTTGAAAATTATTTTTTCAAAGTTGGTTGCCAAACTTTGAACTTAACAATACTTTCAACAATCTCCCACTTGAAGACTGATTTTAATCTGTCTTCACACCTCGATCAATGCAGCAGCATTTCTGGTCCTGTTATTCTAGCATGCCAACTGAAGTTGAACACAACTTCAGTTTGTCAGTGGTCACCGTCTTTGTCAACATGTCTGCCGGATTTTGAGCTCCACTAATCTTTTCAAGCTCCAAAATCCCATCTTCCAGAAAAGACCGGATAAAATGATATCTCAATTGTATGTGATTTGTCCTGGATTGAAAAGACGGATTCTTTGCTAGATGAATGGCACTTTGACTGTCGCAATACAAGACATTGTTTTCTTGTTTATTGTCTAACTCTTCCAAGAAACTTTGGAGTCAGACCATCTCCTTGCTTGCTTCCGTAACGACATATTCTGCTTCAGTTGTGGAAAGAGCAACTATCTTCTGTAGTTGAGAAACCCAACTCACTGCAGTACCTCCTAGAGTATAGACAAACCCTGTAATGCTCCTTCTGATGTCAACATTTCCGGCTAAGTCAGCATCTACATAGTCTGTCAGTATCGTATCTCCACCTTTGAAACAAAGTACTTTGTTTGTGGAACCTCGCAGATATCTGAGGATCCATTTGACAGCTTCCCAGTGTACTTTGCCCGGATTATTCATGTACCTGCTAACAGCTCCTACTGCATGAGCAATATCTGGTCTAGTACAAACCATAACATACATCAGACTTCCAATTATTGAGGCATACGACACATTCACCATGTGTGCACGTTCTTTATCCGTCTTTGGTGATTGATCTTTGGAGAGTCTAAAATGAACACCTAAAGGTGTACTTACTGGTTTAACATCTTGCATGTTGAACTTGGAGAGTACTTTGTTGATGTACTCGGCCTTTGATAACATCAATGTCCCCGACTTTGTCTCTCTTGATCCTCATCCCAAGTATCTGCTTTGCAGCGCCCAAATCCTTCATAGCAAACTGCTTCGACAATTCTTGCTTCAAGTTTATAATCTCTTGCATGTCTGAGCTTGCAACGAGCATGTCATCAACATACAACAATAAAATAATGAAGCTTTTGTCGAACCTCTTGATGTAGCAACAATGATCTGCTTGACATCTGATAAAACCACTGCTACTCATGAAAATATGAAACTTCTTGTACCACTGTCTAGGAGCTTGTTTTAAACCATACAAGCTCTTCTTCAACCTGCATACCAGGTTTTTCTTGCCTACCTCTATGAAACCTTCTGGCTGCCTCATATAAATTTATTCCTCCAAATCACCATGAAAGAAAGCTATCTTTACATCTAACTGCTAAAGATGTAAATTCTCTGCAACTACAATTTTCGACACCAGTCTGATTGTAGACAGTTTTACGACTGAAGATAAAATTTCATTGTAGTCGATTCATTCTTTTTGCTGAAAACCATTGACAACCAATCTTGTTTTGTAGCGTTTACTCCCATCGTGTTCTTCTTTGATCCTGTAAATCCACTTGTTATGGAACGCTTTCTTGCCTGGTGATAATTCAGCTAATTTCCACGTCTGATTTAACATAAGCGAGTTCATCTCATCTTTCATGGAAGATTCCCACTTGATCGAATCCTCCACTTGCATTGCTTCATCATAGCACTCTGGTTCACCATTGTCAGTCAGCAACAAGTAGTGCAAAGAAGGCGAATAACGCTGGGTTGATTTAGGAATTCTAGAGGAGCATCTTAGTTCTGGTGTGTCTGGTTCTTCTTGAACTGCTTTAGGACTGATTTGAACATCATTTTCAGAAATCTCCTCGAATTCAACAAATTCCTTTGTTTCAACTTCGATATTTGAACTACTTAATTCTACAGTTGATCTGTCTTTGTACATCACATTCTCATTGAAAATGACATATCTGCTTCTGATGATCTTTCGATTTTCATAGTCCCAAAATCGGTAACCGAACTCATCACCGCCATAACCAACAAATGCACATTTGTTGGACTTAGCATCAAGTTTACTTCTTTCAGCAGAATCTATGTGTACATAAGAAATACAACCAAACACTATTAAGTGTGAGATTTATTTATTTCTTGCTCCAAACTTCCTCTGGTATTTTGCATCCAAAGGAACTGAGGGCCCACGGTTGATCAGGTAAGTTGCAGTGTTGATAGCTTCGGCCCATAGAAATTTAGGCAATCCGGCATGTATCCTCATGCTTCTGGCACGTTCATTCATAGTTCTATTCATGAGCTCTGCTACGCCATTCTGCTGCGGTGTCATGGGAACTGTTGTCTCCATCTTGATCCCATTGTTTGAGCAGAAATCTCTAAATCTACGATTTCTGTACTCTCCTCCATTGTCAGACATCAACCGCTTGACTTTCAGACCAGTCTCATTTTTCACCATGGCCTTCCATTTTCTGAAGGTATCAAAGACTTTTGATTTCTTATTCAGAAAATAAATCCATACCTTTCTTGTAGAATCATCGATGAAGGTGACATAATATAATGAGCCTGCAAGAGATGGAACTGGAGATGGTCCCCATACATCAGTATGAACCAACTCTAACTTTTCAGCCTTGGGTGTCTTACAAATCTTTGCAAAGCTGATTTTCTTTTGTTTGCCAATGATACAATCCTCGCATAGTCCGACATCTACATTCTTTAGATCCGACAGCTTCCCTTTTGACAAAAGTGTCTTCATCCCTTTCTCGCTCATATGGCCAAGTCTTTGGTGCCATAGGTTTGATTTTTCATCAGCATCTGCGGCTGCAATGATATTCTCTAAATTTGAGGTTACATAGAGAGTACCAGTCTTCTTACCACGAGAAATGACGAGTGCTCCTTTGGTAATCTTCCATTCACAGCCTGAAAAGATTGTGCTATATCCTTCTCCATCAAGCTGTCCAACAGAAATCAAATTTCTTTTGAGACCAGGAATATGTCTCTCCTGTCAGCTTCCAGGTGATCTGGTTTGACAGTTTTAATCGGATGTCTCCTTTTTCGACGATCTTCAAGGTTTCATCAACAGCTAGATGAACCTTCCCAAAATCATCACTGACATAGTTCTTCATGATTTCTCGGCATGGGGTGGGGTGGAGTGGAAAGATGCCCCTGAATCCAAGATACATGATTCAATTGAACTGTTGACGCTTAGAATTATGACATCACTTGTCTCCTCTGTCATGTTGGCAGAATCCTGTGTGCCAGTATCTTTCTTCAGTGCTCGACAATCTCTTTTAAAGTGACACTTCTTGCTACAATTATAGCAGGTAAAATATTTATCTCATTTGGATTTTTACCGTCTGGATTTCAATCTGCCACGATTTGAATTTCTTTCTGAAGTTCTCTCTGGACTCCGTGTGCAAGGCTAAGGAGGTTGATGCTTCACCCGATTCTCTCCGTCGAATTTCTTCACTCAATACCAAATCCCGTACATCGTCGAATTTTAATTTTTTGTTTCCCGACGAGCTGCTGACTGATGTAACAGTAGCATTCCAACTGTCTGGTAGAGATAATAAGAGAATTAAAGCTCGAACTTCATCATCGAATTCAATTTCTACTGAACTCAACTGAGTTGTGATTGCGTTGAGTTCATTTAAGTGTTGAGCCACTAATGCTCATTCCGTCATCCGCAAATTGAACAATCGCCTCATCAAATGAACTTTGTTTGAGGCCGATGGCTTCTCATACATACTGGAGAGAACCGCCATAAGACCCGCCGTGGTCTTTTCCTTTGCTATGTTGAAAGCAACATTACGGGATAACGTCAGTCGGATAACTCCGAGGGCTTGTCTGTCGAGAAGAGCCTAGTCTTCATTCTTCATGCCCTCTGGTTGCTTTCCTGAGAGAGGTTGATATAGATTTTTCTGGTACAGAAAATCTTCAATCTGCATCTTTCAAAAGCCAAAGTCCGCACCATCGAACTTTTCAATTTTCACTTTCCCTTTGTCTGCAGCCATCGCTCTCACTCGAATCTGGCTTCTTTTGATCGTTCTGACAATTTTCGCGAACCGCCGTGTATTATTAGAACACCTCCGTCGACAAATTCGTATCTCCGACAAAATTTCACTATTCACGAAATTCTCTATTCACGTGAATTGTAATTAATAGTAACCTCGCAAAAATTGACAAAATTCACAACCAAAAGCTCTGATTACCAGTTATTGAGAAATAAACCGAGTAACGAGTAATTTCCCTATAACCAGATTAGTGAGAATGCGAAATAAAAGCGAAAAAATAATACCTGAAAATGATAACGGAGTTCAGTCAATTTTACTTACGTCTCTGGACTGCTGCAAATCTTTTACTAAAAAAGAAAATTTACAGGTGTTTACAAAACACTCATTACTCACAAGAAAACTCTCTAGTATTGGGAGAAAGAAAATGATTTTGGAATGGTTTTGAAGCTAAATGAGCTAGGGTATTTATAGTTGAAGCTTAAAGACTTAATCTTGTAAATACCCTAAAGTCTAGGAATTAATTGTGATTATTCCATTATCATTTTTCAATAAACATCTACCAAACTTTGAAAAACTATTTTTCAAAGAAACATTTACCAAACTTTGAAACCCATTTTCCAAAAAACATTTACCAAACTTTGAAAATCATTTTTTCAAAGTTGGTTACCAAACTTTGAACTTAACAATACTTTCAACAAGGTCAGCCCAAATTCACTTATAAGCCAAAGAACCAAATATGTTAAATCTGAAACCTCTGCTGTGGTAGATTAAGTACAAAACTATAGCAAGTTCAAAAGTAACCAGAAAAGTGCATGCCTTGAGCGTAAAAAGATTGTGAAATTGCTACCAGAAAGTAACCATTTAAAACAACAGAAAAAGTTGGAATGCACTCCTTTTCTAAAAGATCAGACTCCTATGATGATAAACATTCCTTGCACAAATCAGATTGCCAATCTTGGACCCAAATAAATAGAATTCAAATAGCTGACATCTCCAGAACAATAAAACAGATTTGTGGAGAAGGGATCACCCTACATGTAGTATGCTAAATTAGTATAAGACAGCTCAGACTTCGGTTGTAAAATCAGTATTAAGGTTTCTTAGGTATCACAGTTTCAAGATATATTGCGTTGAACACTTTCTCCTCAATTGTTACTCGCCTGTGCTGGGAGAACCTCTCATATTCTCCTGACTGTTTATCACCCCCCCCCCCCTCCCAACCAAAAAAAATGTTTATACAAGTATGGGGATAAATCAATATGAAGTAAAGAATAATAAGATTTCCCAGACCATTCAATATGGTGCAACTGAGGAATCAATATTTCATATAGTTGTAGCAGAAACAAGAGTTAAGAAGCAGAAAAGTACATTAAATATAAGCATAAGCAAGAAAGCACCAAATGACCTTTGAAAAGAACTTTTGAGCATGACTCCTGATCTGAACAGCAGTCTTGGTTCCTATGTGTTCTGCAATTCACCAAGTTTAGAGAGAAAGGACAGATCTCCAGTTAAGACAGTAAACTACCAAGTCCTAACAATTTTTTTAGCTCCAGTCCAGGATAATAATAATTCTAAATTACAGCAGCAGCTGAAATATTCCTGTTTCTTCCTCCTCAACCCCACCAACAAAAAGAAACAATAAGATCAAAAAATAAGTGAAAACCTTCAATGCGTTGCCAAGCTCGTCCATGGAGCTTCAAGGCCTCTAGGAACCTGTTATGCTCCTCCTCAGTCCATCGTTCACGTTGTTTTGTAATAGTATAAGGCTTCCTAGTCTACAATTCATAAGGGAAATTAAATAATTGAGGTTGTAACAAGAAGAAATCCACTTTCTACAATTCCAAAATGGATATCTTAAAAGAAACTGAAAAGAGTTTCCTGTTTTTGATAACCGATACCTTAATTACTAGTTCTTCGCCAGATGAGTATGCGTCCATTGACAGTACCTGGACAGCGCTACCGCTGCTTCAAATCCTCTGCAACGAGCAATGAGTAAGACACGAAACTCCTTTGATTTCCTTTGACATCCAACACTACAAATAGCAAAGCCGTCTTTGAACTCCGAAAAAGCTGAATATAGTTATATACTGCTGCAAAACACAAAAGCCAACACCAACCGATAGAGATCCGTCTCTGTTTTCTAATTTCTTTCCAGTTAACACCACCTCATCAACATTCATAATCATAACAATAAAAATATTTTACTACTTTTATCTTTAATCACGTAATAAATTGTTGATGAAAGTTAAATCTCTTGAAATGATTGAAAAATAAGGACATCCACCGTAACAAAGAGAAGAGACGGCATCTTCAAAAGAACTTAAAAGAAAATTCCTCACCAAAACGAACCCGTTGACGCCAAAACCTTTCGAGAAATGAGAGGAAAAAAGAAACTTTAATTAGTAATGAAGAAAACACTTGCTCATCCAGACTTCAGGTAAATGCAAAACTTTTCCGTTTTAGCAGCCAAAACATAAATAATTTCTAGGGAAAAGAACTCTCTACCTTCTATTTGGTTGCCAAAACAAAAGGAAATCAATCAAATTTTCTTTTGTCTCTCTGCTCAACTTAGTATAAGCTTAGGTGAGCCGAGTTTTTAAGAAAACGAATTAATTTAGGCGGCAACCAAACAGAGAGTAAAGAAGGAAAGCATCGGAAGTGCGGTGAAAATACCTTGAGAAAAAGCCATGGAAGACGAGAATTCTGGAAACAATGATCCACGAATGAGAAAAAATAATTCAACAGCGACCTGTTGGAGAGATCGGAATCGGCATCGGAAAACAGTCTTTATATTTAGAAGGAATTGAAGAAGTAAAGCTCGAAGTGAAAGTTTGCGTGTTTCTGGTGAGACCTAAAACACCATAAACTACGGTTTGGGGGAGAAGGAGAAATCTCAGCCACTACAATTTCCTGTGAAATATTTTTCCAAAAAAAAAAAGTAAATACCAAATTTAGGCGAGTTTAATATTCTTTGTATTCAAAGGAGATTAAGTAATCTGGAAGAATCGGAATTTACGACTGGGAAATAAAATTCAACCTTTGTAAGAGAATTCAATTGAGCTGGCTGCGAAACAGAAAGAACGAACGGTGAAAGGTAAACAGAAATGAGAGACGCAACACGATGTTGCCAAGTGGCGGTAATTTGGTGACTGATTTAGGTATGACCCACCTTTGCGCTTTTCCCCCCCCCCTTTTTTTTTTCTTCAACTCATTGCTTGCTTCCTACCTTCCAATCTCAGCCACAAGTTCCCTAACTGTGAGGTCAAATCCGTAAAAACGCCATAGCTATGCCACGTGGGACCCTCTTTTGACATGGACTTTGATGTCTGCCGGTTGCATCCGTAAAAACGCCATAGCTATGCCACGTGGGACCCTCTTTTGACATGACTTCAAATTATAAATTTTAAGACTAAAATTGCTATGTTTAAAAAATAACGTAAAGACAATGAATTTAGAATAAATATAATAAATGGATGGAAGAAGTTTAACTAATTTACTTTTGGGGTGGAAGCCGCTGTGTTGGGGACCATAGATTAGATGCTGCTATCCAAATCTGGAGTTAAGATTGAAGCCACAAATTATGTATATCTAGAAAGCTCTATCCTGCTTCTTGGGTAAGATTATGGATATTTCTTTTTAGAAAAAAATGTGTTATAAAATGATCCAACATTATCTAAACTCTAAATAGGGGTGTAAAAAAAACTGATTGAAACCAACTCGAGTTAAAATTGTTTTTGACCTGCGCTGTAACGATCCGAAACCAACTTGAGTCGGAACTGGTGTTGACCTGAACTCTAGTTGGACCTGGAAATTGTGGATCTGAACCCGATCTGAGAACGACATGAACCCGAATTGAACCGAAAATATGATACTCGAACTGCATCCGATTGATATGAACCCGAACCTGATAGTGACCTGGTAAATAATTGGTATTACCCGACCCGTATACAACATGACCTGTTATGAACCTGACTTGTAATTGACTTAACCTGTAAATGATCTGATGCGTTGTTAAAGTGATATGATATTATCCTGACTTATAATAATAAGTTACAATTAAATAAGAGCACAAGGTTCTTAATCTTAAGGTCGTGAGATCGAGTCCCATGGAGGGCATTTCATAATTTGGAGGTCTCCTACAGAAGTTGCCTCAACTTAGTGTTGGGGCATCCTACTATCTTACCTCCCCTTACCCCATTACATATGAGAACAAGGGACAACCACTATAATTAATATAATTATGTTATTTTAAATTTATAATAAATTTATGATAATTAAATTTAGTTTTTATATTAATTACAATTCTTTATATTTTTTATAATTCTTATATTATAATTTGAATATTATAAATATGATTTTTATATTAATTCAAATTCTTTATATTATTTATAATTCTTATATTATAAATTTTATTTATAATCACTAAATTAAATTTAAATATTGTCTTATTGAACATGATTTTATTAAATTATATAAATTGAGTTAAAATATTCATAAATCTAATTTACTTTTAATGTAAAAATTGATTAATAATTTAAGTATAACTTAACTACATATATTAATTTTTTTATATAAACAACTCAAAGAAAGTACACTGTCCTCAACTACATGAGATTAATATATCTTATGATTGGGGCATCTAACTTACATATATTAGCTACAAAAGAAAAGAAAAAAGCTAAACTGCATCTAGCAGATCATTCTTGTTCCTCCCAATGCTAAAATCCATGATAATCAAGTATGGTTGTGTATGTAATACATTTGCAAAAGCTGACATAGTTTCTATCCCGAGGATTGAGAGGTGTCAGCACGATTAAGACAATTTTTCCTGCATCTCCATGACACCTGAATACGAGTTGCTGCAAGGCTTCTCCAATATGGTGATTCATAACTGTCAAAATAACACTTTCATCAAATACATAATCAGCACCGATACATCTTACTCACAAAATGTCTCCACATGATCTGAAAGGGAATGAATGTCTCTAATTTTAAAGCAAACTCTGTATAATCACTGCAACACCACTAATAACAGTGTCTATAATCACTGGCTGAACTGCTAACACGACTGAACCAGGAAAAGCAGACTTTTAATGACAGAGGATATAATTACATTCTATCTGAAGAGATTCGAGAGAGCAAAATCTGTTGCACAGTTCACTGTCTACAAACAGAAAACAAGAACATGACTTACTAGAGGCTATGGAGGAATTCTAGGTTCTAAAAAAGATTGATAATTTACAGTCTTTATGAAGAGGCCAAGGAATGAAGTATTGACCTACTAAAAGAATGGTGAAAAGAGCACGAGTCTATAATTCGTGAGTATTGTCCGTTACTTATTAAATAAAAACAACAAACTGCAGCTCTTTAATCATTTTCGGATATACTATACAGAGTAACAAAAAACAAAGTACATGGATACCAAAGAGTAATATCATTGTGTTACTTTAGGTTTGCACCATAGTCTCATTTCCAGGGGCACGAGTCCTAGATCAACAATCAGCCAAACAGTCCTAACACAAAGCAATGTAGACCCAAATGCATACTCAAAACACATAGCTAGTCCTAGGACAAACCTCCACAAGCAAGATGCAGAGTTCCTAATTTATTGGTTCAAATTTGTTATTATAAGAAGATAACAACAAGAACTTGCCTTGTAACCAAATCCTTGAGCACTCTCGGAACCTGAACTGGAGATTTTTTGTTGTTTTCGTATAAGAAACAGTGAATTCTATCCATAGCATTGGCTTCTCTTAGAAAGTCAAATTCATACCCAATCTTGAATGGCACAAAGGATCAATTAATAACAACATCCAAAAAGAACAATGAAACGCAAATCATGCGGAAGAATACTCTTAATTTACATAATCTAAGAAGTAAATAGAGCATAAGGCAAACCAATAAATAGATTATATCAACTTAATGGCTCGAGAACAATTGTCTAAAATAATTTCATTAAAAGTTTTACCAACATGAATAAGTTTCATTTTTCATCAGATAGTAGATTCTGAACATAACAATTATGCAATAATGAATAAAACCAATGATATTCACTAAATCAAGTATTATTTGGAATATACAAATAGACCAGATGTACTAAGTTGACATCATACCAAAGTTTGAAATGGCTTAAGTCAATAAGATAAGCCATGAGAATGGAATTACATTCTTGTGATTCGAAATGATTAATTACAAATTGATTAATGAGATAAATCAACTCTAAAAGCCCTTCAGGGTGATAATTGTTTTGTTTTTCCCCCTCTAGAACGATGGTCCCTTATTTATTACTGAAAACCAGACCCATCATTCATCAAACTTTTGCCTAGCCATTGTTATTAATTACTTAACACTGGAAAGAAAGTAAAAAAAGTAAAGAAGACCTGGAAACAAAAGAAATTGGAAGACAAGGATAGATGTGCTTTGTAAGGAATATCAATGTAAATATTGACACCTGTTTTTCCATTTCCTTGGTAAGAGAATATAGATCAAATTTAATATATGTCTTTTGCATGTACAATGCAAATGCTTGCAAGTCACGGATGTCAGTCATCATCAGACCTTGGACTCCAGTATGGTGCACCTGCCATAAACTTTAGGGTGCGTTTGGTTCATGGAATGTAAGATTACCAGTGGGAATAAAAGATTACTAGAGAATATGATTATTGGGAATGTTGTATTTTGTGTTTGGTTGGTTTAGCACGAATGTAAGATTACCGTATTTAGTTAAAGGAATAAAAGATTATTGAAATGTATATTTGACCAAATTGTTCTTATTATATATATTTGTTTTTAACAAGTTGGAAAATATTTATATATTTTCTTTAAAAAATTTAAATTCATAAAATTTATATAATTTTTTTACAAAATTAAAAATATAAAAAGGTTTAATGAAAGGGTAAAATTTTATTTTAACCCCTGAACTTCATATAAAATTTTAATTATAGATTTTTTTTGTAAATCTAAAATAGTTTAAGGATAAATTTGTAATTTAACCTTCGTAGAATTTTTATTATTCAATGACAGAATAAGGATATTTTTGAAAGAAAAAAAATTAAGGGCATTTTGGTCCAAAACACAGGTATTCCAACAATACCTAAGGAAAGGGAGGTAATGACATTCCCGGTAATATACCCCAAAAAATCCACTATTAATAATGTAAGATTACCGGAAATGACATTCCCGGCCAACCAAACGGGAGAATGTGGATTTTATTCCCATGGGAATCTCACATTCCCCCAACCAAACACACTCAAGTTATAATCTCGCAGACTTACCTTTGACTTCAGGATATAATATCATCGTAAATGGGACTTACCTTCACAACATCTTTGACATCACCCTTGAGTCTTGCTCAATGAACCTAATTCATTGATGAAAACATATTAGGTATATCCATAGGATTCTCATAAGCAAATATCCCACCAATACGAATTAAGAGTTAAGCCAATGACTTAAAATTACTAATAAACAAAATTATCAAAATGGTGTCATTAAAGATCCCTTCCCAACCAGCTCATTCAGAATTTTGAGCTATGTAAAGAAATGGAAAGTAGTACCTGCGCAGTTGAAGCCGAACCAATAGGATTTACGTCAAAATTTTCAAAAATCTCGCCTATACTTAGACCCAACTCCTTATCTAAAACAAGTTGAACAACATCAAATGGTGTTGCAGGGGCTTGTTCACACAGAGTAACAAGCTTTCTCACCCATGCAGCAGGGGTTAGGTCTGGCTTCCCAATAATTTGAGCAACCTAGGAGCAAAGCATCCAACAAGCAATTAACGGATATTCAATAAAATATAGAGATACTATAAATCAGCCAATAATTGGGGAACAAATGAAAACAAAAGTTGTCAATGTAACGCAGAAGGGAACATAATCAAATAGGTACAGAACCATCCGTTGAATGAATTGAAAGAACACAAAAGAAAATACTTAATAGTTTTCCAAGAGCTAAGAATAACCAAAATCAACAAAAGAAACAATCGATAAGATAACCAAACAGCAAAGAAACTAAAAAGTAAAAAAAGACAACCTTGAACTGAACAGTTTTTCACAACGAAACTCAAGTCATCACTCTTCAATTTGCCAAAATAGTTTCAGACATGAGCATGGAGATGCGACTGTCCAAGGAATATCTAATTACATGAAAAACTTAAGCAAAATTCGAACATAACTTAAGTAAAATCCAAAATACATACTCAAGGTAAGAGACGATGGGGGAAACAGCAATTGAGATTAAAAGGAAATGGAAACTGAAGGTTGAATTTAAGTACCTCGATAAACATGGGGAATTCAACAACATAACTAAATACCCAAAACATAAAAACAAAAACCCAATCAAAATTTGAGGGGAAAATTGGAACCAAACCTTGTAACTCTACAGGCTATCACTGGAAGCAACAGAATGCCAAGCACGTGAAACAAGGAGAGATAGTGCCATGCTGCTCGGGGAAGAAGAGAGATTGAAAATAAAGGATGGAGGTTTGGTCGGGAAAAGGGAGAAACTGACTATTTTGGCGCTAGTTTTTAATCTTATCCCTATAAAATTTATATTAATAAATTATTTATAATTAATATTAAAATAATTATATATTATAATTAATATTAATATTAACTTATATTAATATAATATAGTTTATAATTTGTAATTAATATTAATATAAAATATAGTCTATAAAGTTAATATTAATATAAACTATATGTTATAAATTATATAGTATAGTTTATAAAATATATACTATATTAATATAAATTATAGTTAAGATAATTAACATTAATATAAACTATAGTTTATAAATTATAAACTATAGTTTATAAATTATATACTATAGGTTATAAAGTATAAACTATATAGTACACTAATATAGTTTACATATAATATATAGTTTATATATACTAATGAACTATATAATATATAGTTTATATATACTAATGAAATATATATAATGTATAGTTTATATATTATATAGTTTATATATACTAATGAACTATATAATATATGGTTTATATATACTATAGTATAAATTATTTTATATAGTATATAAATATCAACTATAGTATATAGTTTATATGATTTTTATAAATAGTTCATATGTAAATTATATTATATAGTATATATAGTTTATATATATAATATATAATATATAAATATAAACTATAGTATATATATATAAGTCATATGTAAACTATATAGTAATATCAACTATAGTATATATATATATATAGGTCAAATGTAAAATATATAGTTCATATATATAGTTCATATGTAAACTATAGTTCGTATGTAAATATCAACTATATTTTATATGTAAACTATAGTTAGTATATAAACTATATAATTTATATGTAAACTATAGTTCATATATAAATATCAACTTTAGTATATATATAGTTCATGTGTAAACTATATAGTTTATATATATAGTTCATATATATAGTATATAAATAAAAACTATAGTTTCTATAAATAGTATAAAATATAGTATATAAATATAAATTATAGTATGTAGTTTATATAAATATAAATATAAACCCTAAGTCATAAACTATAAACCTTAAACCCTAAATCTAAACCCTAAACCCTAAACCATATATTTTACATATATATAAACTATATAATTTATATTAATAAACTATGTAATTTATACAATATATATTATTTATAATTATACATAATATATAAATATAAATTGTATAGTTTATATATAATTCATATATAATTTATATATAAACTATGTAGTTTCTATATAGTTCAATAGTTCATATATAAACTATATAATATTATAGTTTATACATGGTATATATAGTTTATACATAATATATATATATAAACTATATAGTTTATATATATAATACATATACTTTACATATAAACTATATAGTTTATATTATATATATATATATATTAGTTGTTTTAATTTTTTCTCAACTTTTAAAATGAATGCAATTTAGTCCATTTTACAATATTTTTCATATTTGATCCTTTTGTGTTGTTTAATTTATTTAAAATTTTATTTGTAATTTCATATTTGTTCAATTTAGTCCTCCACATTTTATTTGCATCTGAAATTGACCCATACTTATTACTTATTTATATTTTTAAATTGGCTCATAACTTTTTAAATGGGTATAATTTAGTATTTTTTGTATTAATTTCAACATCATAATTTAAAATTATTTCAATTTGATCCCTCGTCAATGTGTGTTGTTTAATTTATTTAAATTTTTATTTGTAATTTCATATTTTTTCAATTTAGTCCTCCAAATTTTATTTGCATCTGAAATTGACCCTTACTTATTAATTATTTATATTTTTAAATTGGCCCTTAACTTTTTAAATGGGTATAATTTAGTAATTTTTTTATATTAATTTCAACATCACAATTTAAAATTACTTATTTCGATTTAATCCCTCATCAATGTGTGTTGTTTGATTTATTTAAATTTTTGTTTGTAATTTCATATTTGTTCAATTTTGTCCTCCAAATTTTATTTGCATCTGAAATTGACCCATACTTATTTCTATTTTTAAATTGGCCCATAACTTTTAAAAAGGGTATAATTTAGTACTTTTTTGTATTAATTTCAAGATCACAATTTAAAATTATTTTGATTTGATCCCTCATCAATGTGTGTTGTTTAATTTATTTAAATTTATATTTGTAATTTCATATTTGTTCAATTTAGTACTCCAAATTTTATTTGCATCTGAAATTGATCCATACTTATTACTTAATTATATTTTTAATTGACCCATAACTTTTTAAATGGGTATAATTTAGTATTTTTTTTGTATTAATTTCAACCTCACAATTTAAAATTTTTCGATTTGATCCCTCATCAATGTGTGTTGTTTAATTTATTTAAATTTTTATTTGTAATTTCATATTTGTTCAATTTAATTCTTAAATTTGTATTTTTCATAAAATTGAACCATGATTATTTATATTCTTAGTAATTTACTCTAAATCATATACAATTACAAATTTAAATTCAACGTTAACGAAAGACGAAAATAATTAATCCAAAAATAAAAATTAACCTGATTTGAACTAAATCCGTATCTGATAGAGATCCGACCTGAATTTTATCTGCCAATGATGTGACCCGATCTGAACGAGATCCGCCTGAAGTCCATCCAAACCTGAATTAACCTACTTCGGACCTGAACTGTTTTGACCTGAATTGGCAACGATCCGAACTGAAAGTAACCCGGCCTGAACTCGAACTGTATCTGGTGTCAAGTCAACCTGAAAATGACCCAATCTGATTTGACCTGGACCCAACCTGATCCGGATCGAAGCATCAAATTTACCTGACTTCACCTGTATCCGATTTTACCCGACCTGACAGGATCCGACTGAAACCTGAACGATTACCCGATTTTACAACCCTAACTCTAAAGCTGTTATTTTCCATTCAAAATTGGCATAACCTGATGAGTTCCTTATTCTAAATGAACATCGAAGAGGTTTTTGAGTAGCTTGTTTTATTTAGGGAAAATGATGTCTGGATCCAATGGGCCGACAACAAACCTGGAGAATATGGAAAACTCTAGATAAATAGATATATGGATCAAAGTCCACTCAAGTGCTTGGACCACAACCATTTCATTTCGCAATACTTTCTTCTCAGTTATACTCCTTTTTTTAAGATACGTACAGAGTATATTATGACTTAATATTTTTTTACTCTGTATTATAATAAAATTATCACTCTGATTTTTATTAGTTTGAAATTTTAGATTTTTTTGTTTGATTTGGAGTAGCGGTGTAAAATGTATATGAAATGATTGAAAGAATATAATTGTGTTCGTGTTTGTTTGTTCGCTTTTTTGAAAGTGTTTATGTTTTGTTTATTTAGCATTCGTGAACATATACATTTAACGTTCGAAAATATATATGTTTAAAATTTGTGAACATATTCATTTACTGTTTGCAAATATATACGTTTAGCGTTCTTTTAATGTTCGATAATTAACACCGTCCTTTTTACCATTTTATTTGCAAGTCAAATGAAAATAGTGAAATTATACCACTAGTCCTTAAACTCATTATGATTTATAGTTTGAGCTTCAAAGTTCACCCTTTGTTTAATTTAATCTCTACTTTCATTAATATTTAAAATTAAAAAAATAAAATAAAAAAGAGAATCACATAAATGGGCACTCCTTTATTCCCATTCGTTCATTTATTAAATGAACATAAAAATTATATTCATATACATTTATTTAATTTAATAAACAAGTATAAATAAATATTATACGAACAATTCATTCAACGATATATTTATTTACACTAACTCGAATGCTATTTTAAGCAAATATCTGTTTGTTACCAAATTTTTCTACGACTTTCCATCTCTCTTTCTTTTCTCATTATTTCGCACGGACTTCTTCTTGGCATCTCCTTAGCAAGCTGCAAATTTCTTTATTCCCTTCGTTTTTAAACACTTAAATAAGAGGTGTTTTCGGTACTTAAAGTAGTGATAAAATGATCGAAATTCACCGACACACAACGATATGGACAATACCCGCCGGATTTTTAGCAAAGGGAAATTACCTTGACGTTTTCGTTGTATTGTTGGAATACGGTATTTTGATCTCAACTAGTAATTTCAAGATATAATTGAATTTTATGATCTGTAATAATTTGAAAGTTTAGGTATGTTTTATATATATAAAGCAATTTACCTGGCCGCATACACCCAATATAATGTTGATGATTGATTCATTAGTAGACTTTATTAGTTTCCAAAGTCGAAATTACCAACCCAATAAGCAAATTGTAGTTGGTAGAGAGATATAAAGTGGAGTATTGAACACTTGAGCACCACGACTCAATCGCCGCCTCACCGGTTGCTGACGCGTGCTGCTGATGACGAAGGCACGATTACTCATGATTTGGGTGAACCCTTTCGTAACTCCTAAACGTAAGCACTGATGTAAAGGCACGTTTACGGATGGATCATGGCGGAACGGCATAAAATAATCACTTTTTTAAAAAAAATTAATTTTTATATATTTTCTTTTGATAATTTAATTTTATCCTCTCTAAAATTCTTAAAATTTTAAAAATTTACATTCATTGTAATAAGATCATACATCTATCTTCCTTTTAAATATTCATTAGAGGCCGTCGAATCTTGATTCTTTCACGCTCAAAAATGGACAAAAGCACATTGTTTTCATTGACGACTGTGTGCGTTGCATGATATCAAAGATGTCACAAACGTTATATCCCTCTTCACATTCCAATACATATCGGATTTTGGCTTTTACCTTTCTGCGTCTCTCGGTTCACACTTCTCAATTGAAAAAGGTACCAAAATACAAAGTAAATACGCTTTTTGCCAATGATGCACGCAAATATCTCAAAATGTTAAGTACTCGGATTTGCACTACGGACAAGCACGATAAGAATTTTAGGTACTGTAATACGAAACTCGTAATACTTGTACACATTAAGATTATTGTTCTAATTTGGACATTTTGCGATTTGACTAAATCTATTACATTACTTTGTCAACGTTGAAAAGTTTGCAATGCCATAAAATTCTGATTATTTGTTAAGTACTTTTCTTCTTAAGCCGTTGCTAGAAATTTGTGTCGTTGAATACCAGATCGGTGCACCAAGAAAATCTTATTTCTTGAATCAGACTTTGAAAATGGAGGTATTCTTTGCCACCAAACTTGATATTCATGAATGACTAACGTATTTTGAAGAAAAAAATTGAAGCAATTCTATATCTTGACTATTTGTTTGTTAAACTATTTTTTAAAACATTAAATTTAATTCAAAGTTGAGAAATTAGTAAGAGATTTCGATTTTCGGTTCAATCCATTTTAAAAATATTGTAATGCTGACTTTATAATTTTGTCCTTAAATTAGTACAAAGGAGTGAAAATTTAAAATAATCGGACAGTTTGAGAATGCTTCTAAAAATGGAAAAATAATTTTTCGCCTCATAAGTAATACTAAAATACCCAAAATTTGATTTGAAATCATAGTTGAACCAGTGATTTTTAACCTAAACTCAAGAGCTCAAATTTCTAGTTTCTGTTGTGAAAAATTATTTTTGGAGTGAAATTATATTTTTACTCTCATTATTTAATTTTAATTTACAACATAAACCTCTAACAATTAAATATTAAATTGTACTTTTTAGAAATATTTTTAAAAATAACTTTTTACAATACTTTTCAAAAGTAATATCAATCTGGTTATCATTATCAAGAGAAATTTATCAATTGATTCTAATTGATATTTTCTTCTCAGAATGTGAAATTGATTCTTATTTAAGATTTAAAAAGTTATAAAAAATTAAGATATTATATAAAAATGACGATATTTAAGGTAGAATATCATGTTATTCTCGTTTTGTAACGTGTTGTTCTTCATATAGTAAGACATTTAACTTGGACTTATCCATGACATAAAAAAACTGAAAACTGGACGTATCCTAATTATTTATTCTTAAATAAAAAAAATTAAATTTTCCAAAAAAAAAAGACAAAAAGAGAGAAAGAGGACCCTACCAAAAATGTAAGCCTACAATTTCTGATTTTTAAGCCTCAGGCCTCTATATAAATTTGTTTATTACCATCAACAATGAAACCACTATTAACCGAAGCAATGAAGCCACTATTAACCGACCTTGTATCCACCGTGAGCTCCGTTCCACCAAATTTCATCCGACCTGAATCAGAACGTCCAAACCTCCACGACGTTATCTCCGATCATTCCATCCCCGTCGTTGATCTCCAACACCTTGATGGCCCCAACCGCTCCACTGTCGTCAAAGCCATTGGCCAAGCCTGCCAAGATTATGGTTTCTTTCTGGTATGAATCAATTTCTGCACTCCAAATTTACTTCACTCTAAAAAAAATATAATAATAATAATAAAATATGTTCGGCTTCGGCTGTAACGCTAATCTGTGATGAAGGTTAAAAACCACGGCGTTTCAAACGAGGTGATCGATAAGATGATGCATGTCTCGAAAGAATTCTTCCATTTACCGGAGAGCGAGCGATTGAAGAACTACTCCGATGATCCGATGAAGAAGACGAGACTTTCCACGAGTTTCAACGTGCGAACCGAGAACATATCGAGCTGGAGGGATTACTTAAGACTCCATTGCTACCCTTTGGAGGACTATGTTCATGAATGGCCAACCAACCCTCCATCTTTCACGTAAATCATTAAAAGGATATATATATATATGTATTATTTTAAATCATTCTCATTTCTTTGCTCCTCGTTTCCACAGAGAAGACACTTCCGAGTACTGCAAGAACACCAGGAGGCTGGCACTGAGACTGCTGGAAGCAATATCAGAATGCTTAGAGCTGGAAAAGGATTATATCAATTCGGCACTGGGAAAGCACGCGCAGCACATGGCGATCAACTACTATCCAAAGTGTCCCGAGCCGGAGCTGACTTATGGGCTACCCGGTCATGCCGATCCTAATGCCATCACCATTCTCCTTCAAGATGACGTGCCTGGTCTGCAGGTTCTTAAAGATGGAAAGTGGATTGCTGTCAACCCTATTCCTCACACCTTCATTGTCAACATCGGTGACCAGATACAGGTTAGATAATTAATACATATTACATGTTCTACAATCATGTATAGGGTTACATATTAGACGGAGAGTTTAACGAGAGAGAATTTTCTGGGAAAAACATATTCTAGAAGCAATCATAAGCATATAATATTAAATTTACAAAAAGTTCAACTCCTTTATAAAATCAGTTGAAGACTAATGTAGGTTTTTACACCTTTTTTTTGGGGGGGGGGTACTGGAGTAGACCGCTAGTAATTAATAGATATAAAAGTCAAATTCGTGAGTTGTTGGTTTCAACTCGACAATCTACAAATTTAGGTGGATATATATATATATGAAATTGGACAAGGTCTGCCCCGATTGTTCCATGTAGTTCTCTGTAAACTAATTTTGGTTAATATTTCCAAATATAATTAATGATTAGTATAATACATATAGGGTGAATTACACAAGATGTTCTTAAAAGAAAGTCCAAATGCTAATTTTGTCCTTAAGTTTCAAATTCTTCCAATTGACTCTCATTAGCTTAGATGTTAAATATCAATTCAAAGCTAATGCAAAATGTATTAAAAATAATTATTATTTAAATTATAAACATGAGTCTATTTAATGCATGAACAACTTAGATATGATGTGTTAAGAAAAAAAATAACCCACCTATATTTTAAAGATATTAACTTTTTTTAACACGTAAAATCTAAGTTGTCAATATAATAATAATTTAATCCATCTATTTTAAATATGCTTTTAGTTATATTTGAATTGGCATTTAGTGTCTAAATTAATGGTTAGACTAATGAAAAGAACTTGATTGACATAATATTGATACTTTTAAGTTCACTTGATTGATGCTTTTTTTTATACTTTGAGGGCTCAATTAGAATCTTCTCAAGTTTAAGAGATCAATATAAAATTTGAGCAGTAGTTCAGAGATTTTTGTCAAATTAACCCATGAATATAATCATAAACAAACTATTATTTCGTTGTTGTTGACCAGGTATTGAGCAATGATCGGTACAAGAGCGTGCTTCATCGGGCAGTGGTGAATTGCGAAGGGGAGAGGATCTCTATTCCGACGTTCTATTGCCCGTCACCCGAAGTCATGATACGACCAGCTCCGCAACTGCTCGACCCCGTCCAAAATCCTCCCATCTACAGAAACTTTACATACAGTGAATACTACGATAAGTTCTGGAAACGGGGTCTCAACGCTGAAACATGTTTAGACATGTTTAAAATTTAAGTACCTTGGTCCTTATGTTTTATGTACTATTCATGTTTGTTCATCAGCATCATGTTTGTTATGATATTCGAGGATCTAGGAATAAAGCTTTAATTCATAGGCCACTCGGATTTTGGTTTTGCTAAAAGTTATTGAAATTATGTAAGGATGAGTGGGGGAATAATTGAGATTACTTTTTATTAACTTCCATATGATGTGTGCTACACAGGGGGGAATACAAAATATAAATGTATCTCAATTTGCCCACCACGAGACCACAATACATTGATTTACTTTTGTTAGAATTTTGTGCTGACAAAGTAAAGTTTATAAGCAAAGAGCAGTTGTTGATGCTGCAATTATGGGGCTTCAGATTTTCATGTCATCACCTCATCTCAACAGCATTATTTTCTTAAGCATTTTCCTCTAGCTAATTCCAATTATTTCCTTGTATGTCTCCTTTACTTTCTTTAGCATGGCGTCCCTGAAATTTGAGGGTTCAATCATCAGTAAAATGGGAAGCTTTTTAAGATTCTGCTAAAAAAGATTGAATCAGGCTTACCTGTCTGGCTTGAAAAGAAGGTGCTTGTATGCAAAGTACTGCAAGAAGAGAAAAGAAATGCCCAAGAAAAACGAGGATTTCTGAATGTAAAAGCTTTGATGATTGAATTGAGCGCTTACCCCACTGTAGCCGATACCCACGGCCTCCAGAAATCCGGGAATCAAAGGAAGCCTATCAATTGCCTGTTCCAGTTTCACCAAAGTTAGAAAGTGATCAGTAAGGCTTAAAACTATCTGCAACATTTGAAACTAACCGAGACCAATCCAGCGGAACCGACGACGGCCACCAAACCTGATACAGCAACTGTACTGACCGCATACTTGTCCTCAACTTTGTCCCACTGAAAACAAATGATATCTTCGTGTCGTAAGCAGAAACAGAGACTGAAAGGAATGTGATGTCAGGCAAAAGTCTTACGGTTTCTTGTAATGTCTTGATAAACTCTGGCAGCTCAACTGGTGCAAGTTCCGCTGGAGCTTCACGGGTGGCGAGAGCCTCCCCTGTGGCCATAGCCATCACGTTCCGAGCAATCTTGCGACCTGACAAAAAGAGAGAGTTTGAATACCATTAGTTAGAGTGTCTCCATTTACGATCAAGCTGTGTTGATATATTGTATGATATGAGAGATTGAATTTTACAGTAAGCAGTGGTCTTCCAGGCACGACTTTGGGACTGAACCGGTGGGGGAGGAAGCGTAGGAAGAGTCACACACGGTGGTGATGCGGTGGTTGTTTGACGAGGAGCCTTGGCATCCACGAGGGTGGATGAGGAAGGGATTGATAGTGCACTGGAAGAAGCTGAAGCCATGGAAAGTCAACCTCAAACAAGATGTAAATAACTTAGGTCCGAGAGAGATTATAAGGCCAATGAAATGGGAAAATGATGCAATTTGGTTGGTTTCCATAATTTTATCTGCGTTATTTTTTGTTTCTTTACTCTCTTTTTTTCTCTGGTTTTAATTGTATAGAAAGAGATAATTGTGGGATGGGAATGTGGAGATGGCTCGTCTTCCGCGTTTGCATCCACAGAACCACTCATTCAATTGATCTAGATAGAGATAGTGTTGACATGGCAATTGGATAGGCTTTTTATGGTGTTTGATTCCATACAATGCTCCAATTTAACAATCTGCTTCTTTCCTTCAACATAATTCTGTGAGACGTAATCAATCTTAAGACAACTTTCATTCAAACTTTCACCATGTAAATATAGGTCGAGTGTTAGGGTTCAACAAATAATTTTTTATCAAGTATAGAAGTATTATATTTCTAAGATAAATATCAAGATTTGAGTCCACGTAAAATAAGATAACATAAGTATTCTTGATAACTCAACCAGTTAATTTTAATAAACTTGTGAGTTTTTTCTTAAGTTTATTATATGCTGTAAAGGTGAAGAGTTATGGACTTAGAAAGGAGAGTTTGAATAAGTTGGTCAGCTTTATGGGTTCAAAGTAGAAAATGAAAATCACAGAAGGAAAAACCCATTAGGTCTTTAAGGCTATTGGGCTTTGACAGATAGGAAATATACTTCCAATCCTTTCTCTCTCTCGGAGAGTGCAGTGACTGAATCTTGACCCTTTTTTCTTCTTCGTTGAGGTGGTGAGTATTCTCTATGTTTTTTTATTATTGAATATGATGATGATGGCCACTGTTGGTCAAAAACGGAGATTAAGGTTCTCCTATAGCTTTGACTGATGGATCAAAGATTAAGAGAGCCATTGAGGGGGGCCGATTAGGCATGATAATTTAATTTCAAATCGTTAGATTTTAACTCGATTTGATATGATAGGATTAGTTTTATTTAAAAACAAATTGGTTTGGGTCTAATTTTATATAGGGATAGTTCGAGACAAGTAGAGAGTGAAAAACATATGATTCGATCTGATCTGAGGGTAATAGTATATTTTTTCATAAAAAAGTATAGATAATTGTTTTAATACTCTTTCTCTATAAATATTTGAATTAAGTCTTTATTTTATGTCGAATCAGGTCGGATGGAGTCTATAATCTAAAATTTTGGACCATATTGATTCAAGTGAAAAATATATTTTGTAAATTAGATCGGGTTGGTCAAAATTTTGATCCAACCTAACCGGATGCCATCTCTAGACCCAAAAAGACGAAGCTTTTGGGTATAATTTTTCAAAAAAAAAAAAAGGCACAGATCTTACGGGGTTGATGGCTCTGCTCACTCTTTGTTTAGAAATGGGGAATAGCTTTAGCTTTCCCTTGGGGACGGCATCAGTCTCTGACTGTGACCCCATTTGGGGCATCTAAAAAAACCCAGCTTTAAAGCCTTAAGCCTGCTATTGTCAGGCAATTAGAGTCGGAAAATAAAAAACTATTGAGAATTGATTCACATATGGCAGTTCTTTGATTGGAATTTGTAGTTAAAAGAGTACAATTGTAATACATGTTCCACCTTCAACATTTAATTCATTGGAATTTGAGGAATGGGAAGGTTCTATACTCATTGAATAAAAATTGGAATAAAAAATGTTTTCCTTAACATTAAAATCATTAACAATTTCTAAGTAGTAATAGCTAGGAAAAACATAGTGCAACAGTCAAAGATGAATAGGGGAGTTAAAATTAAGATAATTGATTGATGTATAAATAATTGAGATTATAATTATATTTATATTAATACTTTAATTGTTATATTATATTTTTCGTTAAATATTAATAGTTGGTAGATTGATTGATATCATTTAATTGAGTGATTTTATTGATAGAACTAAAGATCGATAATTATCTTAAATAAATGATTACATACGTATTTTATTTCTTTCAACAATATTTCATTTTATATAATTTGTTCATATACCTTGTTTTGTGTCCTAAACAACAAATTAATTAGTCATAATTTTGTACATTAATCGTAAAGAACTAATAGTACTCGGAAACCGAAAAGAAATGAAGACAGTTTGATTGAGATGGAAAGAAGTTAGGGTGCGTTTGGTTCACGGAATGTAAGATTATCAGTAGGAATGTAAAATTATCAAGGAATATGATTACTGGGAATGTTGTATTTTGCGTTTGGTTGGTTTAGCAGGAATGTAATATTAACGTGTTTGGTTAAAGGAATAAAATATTATTAGAATGTATATTTGACCAAATTGTCCTTATTATATATATATATATATATATTTTTAACAAATTGGAAAATATTTATATTTTCTTTAAAAAATTTAAATTCATAAAATTTATATATATATTTTTTACAAAATTAAAAATATAAAAAGGTTTAATCTAAGAGTAAAATTTTATTTTAACTCCTGAACTTCATATAAAATTTTAATTATAGATTTTTTTGTAAATCTAAAATAGTTTAAGGATAAATTTGTAATTTAATATTCGTAGAATTTTTATTATTTAATGACAGAATAAATATATTTTTGAAGAAGAAAAATTTAAAGGCATTTTAATCATAAACGTCGGTAATCTAATAATACCTAAGGAAATGGAGGTAATGACATTCTCGGTAATATACCCAAAAAAATATACTATTGGTAATGTAAGATTACCGGGAATGACATTCCCGGCCAGTCAAACGGGGGAATGTGAGATTCCACCCAACCAAACACACCCTTAAGGGTGCGTTTGGTTCACGGAATGTAAGATTACCAGTGGGAATAAAAGATTACCAGGGAATAGGATTACTGGGAATGTTGTATTTTGTGTTTGGTTGGTTTAGCAGGAATGTAAGATTACCGTGTTTGGTTAAAGGAATAAAAGATTATTAGAATGTATATTTGACCAAATTATCCTTATTATATATTTGTATATATTACAATTGTAAAATATTTATATATTTTCTTTAAAAATTAAATTCATAATATTTATATAATTTTTTTTACAAAATTAAAATATAAAAATGTTTAATGAAAGGGTAAAAAAATTTAATCCCTGAACTTCGTATAAAATTTTAATTATAGATTTTTTTTTTGTAAATCTAAAATAATTTAAGGATAAATTTATAATTTAACCTTCGTATTTTTTATTATTAATGACATAAGAATGATATTTTTGAAAAAAAATAAAATTTAAGGTATTTTAGTCCAAACGTTGGTAATGTTACAATACCTAAGGGAAGGAGGTAATGATATTCTCGGTATATACCCAAAAAATCTACTATTTGTAATAAAATATTACGGGAATGAGATTCTCGGCCAACCAAACATGGGGAATCCATGAGATTCTCATCCATGGGAATTCCCACATCCTTGAACCAAACACCCCCTTATGGTATGTTTGGTTGGGGATGTGAGATTCTCATGAAATAGAATCCACATTCCCATGTTTGGTTGGCTGGAAATGCCATTCCGGTAATCTTACATTACCAATAGTGATTTTTTTTGGGTATATTGGGAATGTCATTACCCTTTTCCGGTTATTGTTGTTACCGAATTTTGGACTTAAATGCCCTTAAAATTTTTGTTCTTTCAAAAATATTCTTATTCTATCATTGAATAATAAAATTCTACGAATGTTAATTACAAATTTATCTTAAACTATTTAGATTTACAAAAATATATAATTAAATTTTATATGAAATTCAAGGTTAAAATAAAATTTAACCTTTAATTAACTTTTATATTTTAAATTTTTGTAAAAAAATTATATAAATTTTATGAATTTAAATTTTTTAAAGAAAATATAATATTTTTCAACTTGTTAAAAAATATAATAAGAATAATTTGGTTAAATATACATTCGAATAATCTTTATTCCTTTAACCAAACACAATAATCTTACATTCCTGCTAAACCAACCAAACATAAAATACAACTTTCTCAGTTAATCTATTTTTCTGGTAATCTTTTATTCTCATTGATAATTTTACATTCCGTGAACCAAACGTACCATTAGAGTGATTAAAAACAGGTGATAATAACATTGAAAAGGGTGGAAGGCAGTGTAGAGGGTTTCAGAAAAGGAATAGATACATGGTGGATTGGGTCTCGGCTTGGGGGGAAGAAAAACGGAAGGTAAGGCTGTCATAAGGAAAGCAACACGAAGATCAAAATGACTATGACATTGGCTACAATGAGGGTGATTTTGTCTCTGCCTCGCTCCATCTTCTTCTTTCGATTCTTTTTTCACATGGGGATGTGTGCTGCAGCAGCTTACAATGAGAGGGTGATTTGTCTCTGCCTCGCTCCATCTTCTTCTTTCGATTCTTTTTCACATGGGGATGTGTGCTGCTGCAGCAGCTTCCTTATGACAAATTTCAGTGTGGGAACGTGGGTTGCTCACTTGCTCTTTTTGAGCTTCATCGAATTAAATACCTTTGACTTTGATTATTTATGTCAAAACCCTCTTCTTCTTCCAATACGTCTGCTTAATCGAGTCATGACATTGTTAAGCTAAAAAAGTTTGTCACCTCAACCTGCTTCAGCAGACGGGCAAACCTTGGTAACCCATTCAAGCATATGAATGATTTAGATTGTATTTTTCAGTCCAAAACATGAAATTTAGGACACAATGTGACAAAAGTAGTATTAAGCTTTATAACCCCATCCATCCTTACTGCCATTCTTTTCTTTCTTGTTAGATAGTTCCAGGCTTTAAGGCTCTATTTTGGCTCCAAAAAGGAAATATATATAGGAATCAAAGTCAGCTGCCTAATGGAATGATGATATCTTTCTTCATTTTTTATCTTTGAATAGCGAATATTTGATGAATTGCTGCTGCTATCTCATCCGCTGATCTTAGCTCAGAGTCGTCCTCCATCTGCCATTGCCATTTCCAACAACAAAACCAAACCAACAAGAAAAACAAGACAATTGTTTTAAGAATTTGCAGAACTAGGAATTCAGCCAAAAAAACAAAACAAACTTCAAAAACGAATATTTACCTTGAGATTGAACGAGTAGAGAACAGATGCTTGGGAACTGGTAATGTTGAGATGC